TTGAGTATCAAGCATTAGGTGTTGAATTATTATCTACGCAGCTGCTGCTGCAGCAGAGAGCTAACTGCTGCTGCTGCGGTGTACAGACACCTCATGTTATAGATAGAGCAGCAGCTGTGCTGCAGCAATATGTTATACAAGCAGCAAATATTAGGGATCAATTAAGATCTGTCCTTCTTAGATGGAAAATAAATGCTGCAGCAGCAGCAGCAGCAGAAAAAAAACAGCAGCAGCAGCAGCAGCAACAGCAGCAACAGCAGCAGCAACTGCAACAACAGCAGCAAACAGCAGCAGTAGATGTAACGCAACAACAGCAACAAGAACAAGAACATCAACAAGAACAAGGACCAACAGCAGCAGGACTACCACAACAGCAGCAGCAGCAGCAGCAGCAGCAGCAGCAGCAGCAGGAGATGTTTATAGGTAATTCATCAATGAATAAAAAGTATATAAAAAGTTTGCGATGTCTTGTTGGTGCTGCGGTGTATGCGCAGCAAGAGATGCATGCGTTTGTTGAATTTACTAGGAATAATGCATTAAGACAGAGTGCTGCTGCTGCAGCAGCAGCAGCAACAGCAGCAGCAGCAGCAGCAGCAGCAGCAGCAGCAGCAGCAGCAGCAGCAGCAGCAACATCATCATCATCATCATCTGCTGCAGCAGCACCATCTACAACAGCAGCAACATCTACTGCAGCACCATCTACTGCAGCAGCATCTACAGCATCTGCTGCTGCTGCTGCTGCTGCAGCAGCAGCAGCAGCAGCAGCAGCAGATGGATATAAATATAGAGAATTAAGATTGAATTTAATAAGAGAAGTAGCAAATAAACAACTAATTCCCCTTGAGGTGTATCTGCTGTTTATTCCTCCTGCATGCAATCTGCAGCAAAGCCCCATTCCTCTTCTTACTAGGCAGCAGCAATACTATACACCCCCTACACAACTATTTAATGCTGCACTAAGAAATGCAGCAGCAGCAGCAGCAGCAGCAGCAGCAGCAAGTAAAGGTGCAGCAACAGGTGCAGCAACAGGTGCAGCAACAGGTACAGCAACAGGTGCAGCAACAGCAACAGGTGCAGCAACAGGTACTGCAGCAGAAGGTGCAGCAACAGAAGGTACTGCAGCAAAAGGTGCCGCAGCATCAGGAGATGCAGCAGCAGCAGAAGATGCAGCAGCAGCAGGTGCAGCAACAGCAGGTGCAGCAACAGCAGCAGGAGATGCTGCTGTTGCTGAGGGAGACAAGAGAGGAGACAAATAAACCTCTTATAGTAAACAATATTAATTAATTAATTAATTAATTAATTATATTTATTTATTTATTTATTTATTTTATATTTATTATTTATTGTTATATATATATATATATATAT